CAAACATTTTCACCAAATAGGGGCATGAAAGTCATTTATTCAGCAACAGCTATCAATAAGTTATTTTGCATAAGTTCCCTTAAACAGCAAGTCAGTTTATTCTGATAATCTGCAGATTATAAGATTATCAGAATAATCTGTTTATCAATAATCAACAGCTGCACCAAACAGACCCTTACTGTCTTTGAGAGAAGACAACCTAGAGAGGTCACTCGTAGCAACAGCAATAACTAGTCAAATCGAGATGAGTAAGTGAATCTCTTCTACCAGGCAGTTTCTGATGATGAAGAATCAATAGCCTGAAGATTTGACTTGGAATATCATAAAAGCCGGAAATTTGGAGTGAAGATTGACTTGTCATATTTTGATGGTCGCATGGATCTAGACAAATTCATCAAGTGGCTCCAAGCAGTGGAATGAGTCTTTGAATACAAGGATATTCCAATGACAAAATGGTAAAGCTAGTTGCCAAAAAGTTAAAGAATAGTGTATCTCTATGGTAAGAGAATTTGAAGCATCTTCGATAGCTAAAAAGAAAGAGTAAGATTACCACATGGTATAAAATGAAAAGGGACATTTAGCATAAATACCTTTCCCCACATTACTAATAGAATATATTCAAAAGGCTCCACAACTTGAGCTAGAGAGACATTTCTGTGCAGAAGTACAAAATTGAATTTAATCAAGTCATATTGAAATGTGATTTGGAGGAACCAGAGGCACATACAATACCAAGGTATCTTGGAGGACTGAGATAGACTATTAGGAATATGGTAAAGCTCAAGTCGTTTGAGTCCCTACTTGATGTCCAAACCCAAGCTTTGAAGGTGAAAAATAGCAATATCACAAGGTGACGCCACACCTTTCAGGCAAAGTTCAACCCTAGGAACATACAGAAAAATAACACCTAGGGGAGCACCTAAGCCTAACTTGCCAAGAAAGAAACCCACACAAGTGAAGGAAAAAGAGGAGGCCGCCAATCCTCTTAAATCCATCCCAACTAGTAAGTGCTTCAAGTGCCACGGTTTTGGCCACATTGCATTTGATTGTATAAACAGAAATGTGATATCTTTCACTAAGCAAGATACAGTGGAGGTAGAGGATGAAAACCCAAAGGAGGAGAAGAGAGGGGAGTATCAACTTGCAGCCAATAAGGAAGAGATGTTAATGATTTAAGCTGAGCCCATGGGGGAGTATCCAACAAAACTAACATTGGTTGACCAAGAAAATTGTGAGTCTGAAGAGTCGATTCCATAAAAGGGGCGGATATCCTGACTAACAATTTAACTCCTCGATGGTTTCCATCGAGAGTGGTCCAGTCTGCCATAGATTTTGTACTAGAGTCGATTCTTCCAGGAAGACTTATTTATCAAATGTGTTAGCCGAGTAGAGAAATGAGAGAAGAGGGTTATGTATTTAATGACTCAAGACATGGTCAGTGAGAATATCTGTCTATGTGCAGTTCCAGCTCAGGTAGTGTCAAATAAAGATGGTAATTTATTCTATCAGGAGAAACTTTGAAAGGACATATGTGTTTTGGAGTTGCCTGAAATGAATATGAACATAGATTTTGTAATGTGATTAGCTCCAACATAGCAAGGCAATGACTTTATTATGGTGGTAATACATTGATTCAAGATGCCTCTAAAGAAGAAGGTGAAGTCTCTCCTACACAGAGAGAAACACGAGAGGGACAATTCTGCGTCTAGCGAAATCCAGTGAAACCACTGGTTTCTACATGTCCATGATCGCAGAATGGGGCCGCACATGAGTCATGCCTCATGAAAACCTTTATTCACAGAAATTCCTTACCCCTGTTATCAAATTCAACATAATTCTTTTCCTTTTCTAATCTTATTTCTTATTCCTTTCTTTCTAATTCGGATTATTTCCATAGAGAACACTATTTATGTATTTTTTTCTATTCTGGGAACACTTTTGATTTGTTTCGAGTTTAGGGAGAATCTAGTCTTTGTTTTCTACCTTAAGGAGTAATGCAACCATTTCTTTAACAAGTGGTGTGGATGTATCTTGCATGGTAACAAATGGTGAAACCTCCTTATCGCCCAAGTGTCGCCAATACAAAGTTTTCTTTGATGTTTCCAACCGGGACAGCTGACGATTTACGTTTATCATCATTCAAACGCAGTCAAACTCCCATATTTCATTCTATTGCCTATTTCACAACCACTTTCTCACTAAATCCTCTTCTTAAATACCTTCTATGAGCCCTAGAACGGTATCACTTTTTCAAAGAAGTCACTAGAAATTTATGACTTTGGAATATTTGTACCCACTCTTATTATAAGAGTGTTGTTCTAGGTTAAATTTTTAAAAAACAAATTGGATATCAGACACGATACTACCCAAGAGTTTTGCATTCATTTTGTTAAAATTTTCCAGCTCTTTCTCGTGTTGTGAATTGTTTAACATGGAGAACTAACTTATGTAGTTTCAATGATCATAATGCATAAAAGTGGTCCATTTTAGTAAATAGCAAATGACTTGAAAGATTTCATTGATGTCTCAAGCTAGTCTTAGGTGATACTATGACTATTGTCCGTCGTTGATGTTCAAAATAGTTATGAAGGTCTGCACCAGCCATCAATTGTGCGTGCAATGGAGAATCAGATATTGAATGAATTTTCTGGCAAGTAATTTCAACAAACCTAAAATGGAGTTTTTATAATCGACAAATGTACAGCTTGATTGAAGATCTATTGCAACGTAGGTAACTATCCTGAATCTTAAAATGCTTGTTATCGTATTTGTGTAGAAGATGGCCTGCCAACTTGTTCATCACCATTGTCTAGCCATTTTTCTGTGAATGCAAGGCAATGGTCCTCTTTAATTTTGTGTACATCATGGCACATAAGTCAGATTCCATCCACAGTCGTGACTGAGAGATCATGTTGAACATTTTAATGGTAATATCCTTCTAGTCATGGATCATTGAGTAGAACTACTAGAAATATATTATCCACATTATATGTCTTCTAATTATGGTTCATTTGAGTCTACAAATATTGAAGCGGTTTAGTGCATCAAAATCTCCTTTCCCAACTACTAGAAATATATTATCCACATTATATGTCTTCTAATTATGGTTCATTTGAGTCTACAAATATTGAAGCGGTTTAGTGCATCAAAATCTCCTTTCCCAAGAGGTAAGCATGCCAATGCTTCAATAGTTAATGTGAGGCCTTCTCGCTCTTGCCCTAGTTTTTTTTTTCATTTTATGGCCAATGACATCATACTGGCCTTGCTCAATGCATGATTAAAAACAATGAGTTTATTTGCAATTTGAGAGAAAATCCCTCAAGGTTACTTTATAAACATTTGTACATCCCCATGCCTAACTTCCATAGTCAACGCCTAACATCAACACTCTACTACATGCTCTAGTAAAAATCATCATTGTGTTGCTTCAAACTGTGTTTACTTCATTTCTTCTGCCAAAATATCAACTACATAAATTGTCCCTATGGTAATTCATGATGAATAAATTTTAGTTGGGCAAAATCCACGTTATCATATATGCAAAAAATACATAAGGTGAAATAAGTGTCTAGTTGGTCATTCATGTGTCCAATGTCGCCAAGTTGATGGTTCCATCATAATTGGGAAATTCCACCTTCGCATACATCTCGCAAGGCTTTACTCTCCCCTTATACTAAATATGGACAAAAACATCCTCAACCTCAACTTCATCATCTCTGCGCATACCAGTAACATTTGCCGAATGTGCATATGTTGTAATAATTGTACAAGAATGAAGGAGTATGTAACTTGTCACTAGAAATTAGCAAGCAGTTGAACATTCAATCTTCATCCAATCTGTACTTGCGGCCATTAGTACGAGCAATCTAGCCACTTGTTTGGCTAGATTTCATTATTTATCTAGCATCTGACCTATGCTCTCTAAATTAGTGTACATAGCAACTATAATTAATTTTCCCTTCTCTGCAGGTTTCAACCAGCGCTGGACCAAAAAAAAAACTCCGAAATTGAATTTTATTTTTCAACCCCTGGACAGAAACAAACTATTGTAATGCATGTATACTTTTTTGCAAACACCAAACCAGAAACCGATCCCTCCTCCTTGTAGGCCTCAACCAAAATTGGTAGATGACTGAGGCAACTAAAAGGATTTCAGGGGATCAGTTGACCGGTGACATTAAGGGTTATCAACAACTACATGGGGCAACTAACGACTTTATTTAGGGAATGAGCTTACTTCCAGGGAATTATAACTTAAAAATAATTCTTATAAACACTTAACTAACTCCTCAAAAAAAGAAACAAACTCCAAAAATTATAAAAATCATAACTTGAACTCAAAATTAAATACACAAACTAATCACACAAAATCGTGAACTGCATTGAAATTTGAAATTCATCCTTATCTTCAGTTGGCTAGTTACACTAGTCCTGATATCATTATTTCCATACACAGTACTAAATCATTTGCCTCCAAATCTTGATCATCAGGTGTTTGACTGGCAATAGTCTTCACCTATAGACTCATGTTTACTTGGTCTTAAAGCTCTTTGCTGCAATATAAGAATCGTTGCCATTTGCATTCTCTGTCAAGAGATCAGCCCGTTAAAATTTCAACAATCATGAAACAGTTAATCATTCCAAGCTCCGATGCCCAAAGTGATCATAGAATCAGACCGGCCGTCAACAATCTTATCCCAATATCAAGGTGAGTCCTCCGTAACTGCATTCTAGTATAATTTTGATGATCAAAATTTTTAGCAAAGCTCTCTCATAAACTTCGAATTTCTTCGAACTTCACCCAAACAACTCTGAAAATCCGCCAAAACCAAAAAAAAAAAAAAAAAAAAAAAAAAAAATGAATACTGGCTCAGTTTCAATCAAAACCACCAAAACTGAAAATCATATCAAGGCATGGTTTCTATTTACAAGCAACAAAATAAGCAAATATAATCATAAATCAAAACATAATAATATTAACAAAATATCCAAGGCAAGACCTGAGGCTCTCCAGCAAGACCCAAAGCAACAGCGCACACAAGAGAGCTCTTCCCTGATCCGTTAGGGCCTATTACAAGGTTGAGGCGGGATCCAGGCTTGCATACAAGGTGATCATAGGTCATGAAGTTGTGAATCACGATCTCCGTTATGTTGCCAGGTAAATAATCATCTTCCCCTCTCCCATCGCACAGCTGGGTAGCAAGTTTGAGTCGCTTGGCCGCGCGTGCAGCCATGGTGAAAGAGAGGTGAACAAGAATGGGAGACGGAGAAGGGTTCTGTTTCTACTTTCTCCTTCGCCGCAAGAAACACTCGTTTTTACCAACCGCTAAATCCTATATGTAAACCCTAGCCCTAAAGGTTTGGCGCTGAAAAATCCAGAAAAAGAAGAACTCCTGGCGACTGTTAGGGGCATTTTACATACATACCACTCAATTCTTTTATTTTTACATATCCCACACCTAAATTTTGCTTTTTTATATAATACCACCCTATTGACTTTAAGAATTGAAATAAAGCTTTTCATATTTAGATAAGGTGGCATATAGCTACAAATTTAAAGTGTAGGTGCTAGCTATGTAAATACATTAGAATTAAGTGATATGTATGCAAATCTTCCAAAATTTTAATAAATCTAATTTTGCTTTTTATTTAAGTATTTAAAAATTTACATGATTGTGGGACATCTTATTAAATTGACTTTGCTTATATCAATTTTAATTAGGCAAAAGAAATCACATTTCATTTAATTAAATATCCCAAGTAATAATTAAATTAATTATAATTAATTGGATGAATATTCTAATTAATCATTAATTAATAGTTTATAAAATGTTTAAATATAATAATGTTATTTAATCCAATTAAATCATGAATTATATTAATTTATTTAAATTCTAACTTTGTAAATTAATATTAATTACTAACTTAATTTAAATTTTAAATGATATATTATTGTTTTTTTACTTAATCTATTTTATAAGATAAAATGCTTGCATCTTCAATCCGACTTTCGGAAACCCCCAACCAAGAAGTCATTGTGTAAGCTCACTAAAGAAAGCACCAAGAAGAGCAGTGACATGTGAATAAGAGAGGAATTTATGAAACTTAAAGATTTGTTGAATTTGCACGACATAATAAATTTGGATCTAAAAAAAATAGGTGAGGAATGGGATTTAGTTTGTATAGGATTTAAAATGATATTTTGAATGTTTGGATATACTAAATAGTGATGGGATCAAGGGAAAGATAGAATGATGATGAAATCAACTAATCGCGAACTAGAGGAGAAATTGTAACTAACAAATGTGAGAGAAGCTCTACCAACATAAAAAACACAACCAAGACATTATGAATTTGAATTACAAATAAATGATGGGGCTCAAAATCTTATGTGATTTCATTGGTGAAATGTTCCTTCACATAAATATAAAGCTATAATGATGTTAGGGTAGGCATAAGCACTAGGCTTAAATCAATGTATCTTGAGAAGTATTAGGGATGGCCTTAAGCAGTAAAATTAAATGATGCTCATTAAACCTAAGGTGCATTGTCAAGATCTAGAACATGATAACAAAAGGCTTGAGATGTGACAAATGAATTGAGAGGTATGATGTTTTGATTAGAAATGCAATTCTATAGTGGAATGCATATCCTAATTTAAAATATATACATATATATAATGAGGAGGCAATTGAGATATATGGATGAATGTCTTATGCAATGTTGGCTCACGGCTAATCTGAGATGATCAATGGTACCAATTTGGTGGAATAGTTTGATGGTGGCTATAAAAGGGACAAGTGCAACAACGATATCATTTTTTATGACTCCAATGGTGGGATCATGATAAATGACAATTCAAGAATGCGTGAAATTTTGAAAAAAGGTGCATGCAATTTCAAATAAATGGTGGTCTTAAGTATGTTATAAACTTCAAAAATTAGGTGGGGGATAAAGAAAATGGTGCACAAAGTAGAAAGAGATAAAACTCACTATTTTCATTCCATCCAATCTCTCTAAAAAGATGTTATTCATAGAGGCACAAGGCTACTAATTATTTAATAAAAACCTAGAGAGTACCCAGTAGTTCCCCTCAGCTCAATTTTTATTACATTTATTTAATTTTTGACATACAAAATTTATTTCATACTTATAACATCAACACAAATAAATCTCTATAATAAAATTCAGGATCATAAGTCAAGAGTGGAATTTAATTATTAAAATTCTCATTAGTATTCAATTTTTTTTAAGAAATAGATAATTGTGACTCCTTTTATTTTTTCTCACAACTAAATAAGCTCATTATCTTGTCTTCCATTGCTCATTTTGATTAGCTTTGTGTGTGTGTGTGTGTGTTTATATTTATTTATTTATTGATCTATCAATCTAACTTTCTCATGTGCCTCTCTCTCACCCAAACACAACTAATTTAGCATGTCGCAAAGGAATTGTTTACTTAGTTTATTCAAAAATAAATGGTTACACATTCTATTTGCCACAACTAATGTATTAGGTACATGCATTATCCCCACTATTATCTATCATGAGCACCTAAAACATTGAGTATTTAATAGTTCTATTCCTTCTATGAATATCTTTTCCATATCGATTACGAACTACCTTATATCAAAAGCCTTCTCTGACATCAATTTTCCTCATCCCTAAAAAATCTTCACTAACACCCATTTCCATCAGCGTGTTATTTTTTAGCCTCAAATGTTATGCTTAACCAAAATAAACTGCACTATTTCTTTCTGCTTCATCATTTTTTTCTCAATGAACTCTACCCATCCACTAATCACAATAATAATTTTATTACAAAATATCAAAGTTTCTTATCAATAAATTCAATTGCTACCAATTATATTTTAGTATATGAATTTATGAGTTTAAAATCAACATATACCTTTTAATTTTTAAGTGAACATTCTTATTATCAAAATTGATAAGTTTTAATCGATGAGTGTGATAATGGATAACCTGTTATACAATTTATATTGGAGCATTAGCAAAAAAGATTTTTACTCTCTTTTTTAATGGTAGGAGGTACAAAGTTGAGTTAAATTTGATTACTTGATGTATAAAATGAGGTGGATGGTGGTGTTTGTTTTCATTCTTTGTGTACCTTTTGGAGTTGCTAACTTTTCATATCATCATCGTATAATTCTCTATCCAAATAAATCTTTCATTTGAATAATGAAGATAATTAAAGGAAGACAGGATATGGAAAGATAAAAATCCAACAAAAACATATAGCAATTAAAAAAATGTGAAGAACTTTCATAAGGTAACATTCACATGATAGTCCAAAAGCATACACCCAAAAGAAGATAAGATAAAAAATACCTTTGGAACAATTCCGCGAAGAAAAATCTAATGAAAGCAACCCATAACCAGAGAATCAAGTTATTGTGCTTGCTCTGGGTCAAGAGCGGCTCCCAAAGGAATGTATTCCTTTGGTTAATTATCTATTGTGGGATGCCCAAGAATACTCTCGATAAAAATGGTCTCGATTATAATATTTATTATACATGATTGTTTAGGAAACTAAAATTTTTTTATCATGTTAAATGGAGGAATCTCGATGCTTTCAATGTCTATATCGGTTCATTGGGCAAAGGGTGAATCATCGTATCCACTATGGGAAGCGATATCTAGATATGCAGGGCCTATGAGATGACATCAACGATTGCTATAAAAGGATGATAGTGCTCAAAAGAGGTGTCAACAGGAAGGGGAGGGATCCTTAAGCAGGTAGAGGTAGCCAGGTCAGGATACCATAAATTTGTCATCCCAAGCTATGGAGACCGTAAGTCTACCTAGCCGTGAAGGTAGTCAACCCAACCAGACCAAGGACCTCTTCTTAGCAATCCATAAATTGTATCGTCCAAGGAAATCCTAGTTGCCTTAAGGTTAGAGGAAAGAAACCTCCAATTTCATATGACTTTCTAAGAGGTAGAATAGGTAAAGGTAGGACTTATACTTATCAATTAAATAATAAAGAAGTCACTATAATGGAAGAGAAAAGAGAGGTCGCAGCTACAAAGCCAGAACACTCCCACAAAAGGACTTACGCCCCCGTTTGGGTCGTGGGAGCCTCTAACACCCTAATCGTGCTAAACAACCTCTAATGTAAAAATTTTATGCTTGGTTTTGTTGATTGAAGGAGCATCGGGGCTCCTCCTCAGGACATACAACATGATGCAATTATTTGCATTTAAGTTTAATTGTGGGGCCTTACTAGGGATTACTTGGGATATATTCATGCAAATTTATTTTTAAAACTGCATCGAAGGTCATGTAGGAAAGTAAAACAGAAAGTAAATTACTCATTTTAAAGTTGGGATATTTTAATCCAAAATTTATTATTAATCGTGAAATTTGCATTATTAAGATCGTTTAAAAAAAAGGTTCTTAATGAGCATAAATTACATTTTTTATGAGCCCAGACAAACCACAAACCAAAAAAGATGAAATATCAAGCACACAACACAATTTAAAACAAACCAAATAAATATATAAAAGTCTCAAATGTCGTTGGGTTGGTAATATATTTCAGTAAGATATGAGACACGAGTGACGGCTCCAGGTCTCTGTCACATGGTTCGGTGCATCGAGCTCCTCAAAACTCGTGCCTGTATCTTTTTCTTATGCATACTCCCTAAAGACTCTAAAAATATATTTTTGAAATTATAAAATAAGACTCAACATACAAAAGAGGTTAGCACGTGTTATATTCATATAATGCATTATGAGTCATGTCTAGCAAGAGGAGAGCATTAGCAATATCTACAGAAAGTGTTAGTATTTAAATCATTACTTGCTCCTCCCTTTTCTTCATTTTAGGCGTAGTTTCTTGTAACAAGACCACCCCTATATATGCTAGTGTGCAAGTTTCAAACTCTAGTAAGCACACAAATAAGCAATTGAAGGATGTCAGGCTAGGGCACAAAATAACAGAGAACAATTGTTAAGGCATAAAAAAAAACTACCCAATATCATAGTCCTGGCCTAACACATCATTTTATGACAAGTATCTTAATCACAACATCTAAGTGCATGTGCGGTGCAAGGTAAAGGTTTTTGTTTGACTTTGACGAGGCTACCAAAACCGGTCTCATCCTAAAGATCCAAAGAATCTAATATTTGTCCCCCAATAGGATTTTTAAAAGTGTTGGCCCCACATAAGACCTATTTTGCTAATTGCATAATTTTTAAAATATAACGAACTATGAAATGTGAACCTGAACATGCGAAGTGACATATATTAGAGCCCTAATAACTTTAGTAAATTCATACTTGTGTTGATCTTGATGCAATAACTGGCATTGCTCACCGAGATTTACCTGACAAGCGATGCTCCTTAAAACACTGTA